AACGTTTTTTTCTGAGTGGAAGCAGAAAGTAATTAAAACATTCAATGCTTCTTTTTGGACCTTTTTCCTCCTTCCTTTGAATGGCTTACACTTTGAGATGTGACAGCACTCAGTGCCAACAGACTTTCTTTTCACCACACCCCCCCACTCGGTGCACTCTGGGTGGGTATTTTGTCATTACTTCATTTTCCCCCTGAAAATATTTTGATGCTTCTTTCCTTTGACGCACTCCCCTCACCCCCTCCACCGCGCTCTCGCACTCACTCTTCTCCCCCATCCCCATCTTCCCCATTTAAACTTCTTTATTAAAATGCAGAACTGCAATGCCCCCCCCCCCCCCCTTCCCTCTGAAAGCCTTCTAGCAGCAGGGGCACTGTTGGTTGGTAGTGATGCACACAGCTGAGTGTGCATCATAGTGACAGGGTCTGTCGGTGGAATGCATTTGATCAAACACACACTGTCACCCCTCTTGATGAAGACGCAGTTGCAGCCATGTGTCCACAGTGCAGAGTAATGAAATGAAATTAAGTAAAAAAAAATCAGGTTTAACTGATAACTCAAAAAATGCAGCGTGAATTTTAAACATTTCTTTTTATTGGAAAACAGTGAAATTGAGACACGGTACATTTGACATCTGTCTCCATCCGCATCCATCTCAGTGGATATCCACTGTTTACCAAATGCCACAGGTGCTGCAGGGTGAACACGAGGTGAGTCTTCTTCACTCAAAAGTAAATTCAAAGTAAATTAAATTATTTACACCCTCAGAGATTAACAATAATAAGAAACTAAATGAGTCAACATATAATTCATTGTTATTTGCACTGTATTTTTTTCTTTCTTTTAACACAGAATTGATAAGAAATTTACTCAATAAGGATTTGAATCGATAAATTATATCAACAATTGAAAGTCAGTCGTTACATTTTTATCCATCCCCTACAAATGCCTGTTTTTAAAAACAAACACTGATCATTTGAACAATTAGGTCAAACACTTCTTTCCCGTCTGATCTGCTATCAGCCTTTAATTCCTCTCTATGATGTTTTTTTTTTTGCTGATCAGTGATTGTGAGATAATTCTGTTTTTCAGGAACTGTGCCTGTTTGTTACCACCAGCGCCTGCATCACAATCAGTTACCTAATCCTGTTACTGAGAAATCCTTTGTCAAGGACAGTTTTCTGAAGTGTCACCTAATTTCTTTTATCTCCTCAGAGGGTTGTTCAATTTGAAGGTTATTCTGTATTTTTGTGAAAATCAAAGCAAAGGCATTTTAATGTTTTGTAAAATGAAGAAAAAATTAACCATCTGATTTTGGTTCACTTAATTGTGTTTCTTTATTTTCAGAGTAATGAAGTCATAGAAAAAGTGTAAAAGGATGTTATTAAATTAAATTAAAATGCATCACATTGATGCCTAATTTAATCTTAACCCTTTACACATTAAAATAACCAATAATAACCATTTAGTTTAAGTACCTACAAGCATCCATATTTGGAGCTGCGATGTCTTTGACCCTTTACAAAGGTCATAGTCGTTAAAATGGTTGGGTTTAATAATGATGCCCTGAGAACCCCAGGATTGAGGTAAGAAAGGGTTAAAGTCACATGTTTGTATATAGTGGAGCAGTTTACGCAGGATATGAATGCACAGGACGGATGAAAGAGTCTGTTTGCTATTTGTGTACTTAGCATTGCACACAAATGAGCCTCAGGTCACAGGTCAGTAGAATAAAAGCTTAGCAACAACGACAGATGCTCCGAGTGGCTCTTACGTCAGTAATACGTCATAGTCTTGTCACAGCATCACGGCAAAACCTTTCAAACAGAGGTGAGTGTTCCAGCTAATTAGGGTGATTCTTACCTCGACTCATGTTAACATTCCTAGAGCAGAAAATGACCATTTCTGTAAAGCTTTCAGTCCCACATGTTTGTGGTCATATAAGGTCTGTTATGAGGGATGTCAGAATGGACAGGGATTGAATAAAAAAATGGAGGTGGTTATCAGTTTTAAAGGTACAATATGTGTTGTATGGATGTAGCTTTGGAGGCATTGATGCTGTAAAAGGAATCTTTTCTCTTAGCGTTGCCTAATGACATGTAGGAAAGACACTTTATATAGTAAATTTAAGAGCATCATAAAGTCTAACCCTGGCTTCCTAAGGTGAAGTTTCCAACCAAAGGTTTGCTGAGAAATCTAAACACAAGGAAGTGAAGGAAATTCCAAATGACTTTAATACTGAAACACATTTGGCCTTTTTCTGTTTCTGCTCAGATCACAATAAAATTGACTTGACAGCGAATGCAACATTTCAACATTTGAACAAACAGTACCGTGCTTTTCTGAAAAGAAGCGATGAAAAGGAGAAACAGAGCTTTTGTCTCTACAGTCAACCCCCTACCACTACAAATACATGTGAGGCTGCTGTGAAAGGCGGCAGAGACACGTTGCTGGGGTTAGCCCAGTCACTGTGGGACCAGTTGACTGAGTCGACTAGGTAATTGGTTGCATCTACCCACCCGGTGGGGCCCCGTTCTCCGCAAGCAATGTCAAGGCCCCTCCTCTTCTTTTTCTGCTCTCTTATATTACTCATCATCCCAGCGGCTCACCAGGCTAGTGGTGCAAAGCTACACCACAGCACCGTGCAGCAAGCCCACGCTCCAAAACTTCTTCACAACCGCAGCCACGGCAGCACAGCAGGTCGAGGCTTGTGGCAGACTGATTTCCAGCCTGTGCCTTCATTTTAATGAGGGGGAAATAAGCACTTGTTGTTTTGTGCCTGGTGTGTCGCCACCCCCATCCCCAACAACCACTACAACTAGCAATGCTACCTTCCCTTTTGTAAAATTGAGGTGTGCTAATTAAGCTGGCTTACAGGGATCTGGAGGGAGGGAGGTTGCTCTGGCGTGTAGGCCTGGAGGAGGAGATGGAGATGAGGAGGTGTTGTGAAAAAAGCATTACCAAGCACAGTCTGTGTAGTAGAGTGAAATACCCTTTCCATCCTGTACCAGTTGTACTTCTTGTCTTAAGTAGTGGCAAAAACGTGGGATTTGTTTTTACGACTTGTAATTAAGCTAACTCATAGCTAGTCCCGACTTGTAATTAAGCTAACTCATAGCTGTTTCTGAATATTTCCATATTTTCTTTTTTATGCTGGTACATTGGACTCCTCAGGGGAATTCACTATTTCTCCCGGCAAGCGGACTCATTGATGTTCTCCCACTTTGCTTCTATGCGGACAGCATGAATGGAAAATGCGTGGGCCAATAGGCTTTGTGTTGTTGAAGGACATCTGAAGGTTACTGACAGACGAGGCTCACGATTTGGATTTCTATGTGAAGGATAAAATCATGGCAGGACTTTTCCTGGCCTTGCATCGACGAGTTCACAAACTGTGTAAAGGCTGGTAAATAAGGTAAAATGAGCTATAATACACTGCTATACATTGTCCAAATTATTATGAAACATTTTTGGTTCATAAAGTGCTCAGGTTTGTCTACACGATTAAGAGAAGAGGAAGCGTGGCGATATCATTTAAAGAGATTTACTCTTTACACCAAGTCATATCACTTGTTATGCAGTAAGAGGCAGCGTGAGTTTCTTTTAGATTGTGGCTTAAGCAAGATCTCCTTTTAATGTTTTCTCATTTTGTAGGTGAAGGTGTACAGCTTAATTAATAGTGGGAGCTCTGCACTTCCGTGTGTCAGGCCTCGTGTCAGCGATCAATCCCAGGCTCAAACGTTTGTCCAGTGTGTAGTCAGTGTGGAGAACGTTTAGACCCAGTTTGAATTATATAAAAAGTAAAATTTTCACAACAGCGAATTCTGCCCAGGGATTACAGATGTGTTGACAGTGACCCTTGCAGGGGATGGAGGAGAGAAGAGTTGTCATAAAATAATAAGCCAGAATTCTTTTCAAACATTTTCTTGAATTTTTATATTTGAGCAACACTCCAAAAAGAATCCAACCAAAAACAGGCAAAATATTCCTTCATATTCTTACCCACATTTTTACTACTTTTTTTAAGGAAAAAAACAGATGTAAAAGTGTCCATGCCCTGCATCTAGTTAATTCTAGCAAAAAGTTAGTTTTTAGATTTTTTTTCTCTAAAGCACATCATGCTTCACACCATAAATTCTTACTTCCGTGATCCAGGGCTTTAAAAATACTTGGAAAAGAAAAATTTGTAAAAGGTGAAAAACACCTTTTAGAAATTCTTCTTTTCCAAGTATTTTTATTGACCAATTTAATTCACAATTTTTTTTCACTAATTCACCTTTTCTGTGTTTTTTCCAAGCTTTATTTGTAACCTTTAAGTGAATAGCACAAGTCATGTGACATTTAAACGTGCCCAGATGTAATGTAAAAAGCCCATTTGTCTTTGTTTTGTTCTGAATCATGTGAAAGCTATGAAAAAGTTAGCACCAGCCCCGAAAAGGAGTTCCAACACTTGGTGCACAGGACACAGTTTTGAAGTTCAGCGCTGCTCTAAAAATAGCTGCACAGTTTAAATGTTTTTTTTTTTTTTTGGTCATCGTTTGTGTCTGTGTGAGGAGGATCTATCTGAAAAAGCTGGGGGAGGTGCAGTGCATGGGGGTGGGCATGGACTTGACAGGAGAGTGAGGCACGTCGAGAGTTGGAGAATGAGAACACGGTGTGAGGGGAGTTGCACAGGGAGAGGAAGGAGACGAGTCTTTCAGCTCCTCCAGAGGGTTGGAATTCCTCCCGAGCTGTTCCCCCCATTTGGCAGGCACTTGTGAAAACAATTCCCCAGCTTTTAGTCACTCTGCAGATCCAATTGCCATTTCCACTTGGGAGGGAAATAGAGTGAGAGGCAATCCAGATAGACAGACCACAGAGAGAGAAAGAGAAGAGAGTTTTAATCGGTTTGGACAGATGCCGAGGCTAGTTGAGCAGTTGTGTGATATTAATATCTTATGAAGGCAGTCTGGCGTAGCAAGCTCACCGTCTTGTGTGGTTTTGTGTTTGTGTGTTTGCAGCAGCGGCCATTGCAGTGGCTAAATGAAGAACTTGTGAACATGCGTGAGGGGAGGACTCTACATTTCACTTCCTTGACTTGTCCAGATGCTCTGGCCCAAAGAAAGATGGAAAGGAATGGGAAAAGTAAGAAACTGAACTCATACCTAGTGCACAACACCTTCGCCCCCAACTGTGAAATTAATGGAATAAACCAGTTTGATGGTATTTTCTTTCTTATTCACTGCTCATACTTTAAATCACATCACGTGCAGAGTCAACGACCAAGGGATGGAACATGCCAAAATATTTAGGTTTCCATTATACAACACCCGCACAGTGTGTGGAAAATAATGTGGAAGTTATCATCCTTGTGTCTCTGCCAAGTGTACTTTCTGCTCCTGCTAAATGAAAATGAATACACATAGTAAACAAACCTCCTCCTCTTGTAGACTTGAGCCAAGGCTTCTGCACAGCACCCATCCAGTGAGCCCACAGGAGATCCCGTGTACGCCGCGTCGCTGAGCCTCCTCGACTTCCCTTCTGACCTCTCGACTCGCAAATCAGCATGACCTCTGAGCTGGAGAGCAGCCTGACATCGATGGACTGGCTCCCCCAGCTCAGCATGAGGGCGGCCATCCAGAAAGCAGGCACAGGACATCACCACAGCCACCACCATGGACACCACAACCACCACCATGGCCACCATCAGGGACAAGGCCTTGGAAAGAATACTGTTCACCTGGATCCAGCCTCGACCCTGGACCACGAGGAGGCGGCACAGCACAGAGACGGGAAACCGCCGTATAGCTACGCCAGTCTCATCACCTTTGCTATCAATGGCTCACCGCGCAAAAGGATGACGCTGAGCGAGATCTACCAGTGGATCTGTGACAACTTCCCTTACTACCGGGAGGCGGGGAGTGGCTGGAAGGTAAGTCCAAACACTTTTGTGGAGGATGTTTCCCTCAGAAAGTTCCTTCATTGTTGATGTTGAAAATCTGCTTCTTTGACCTGTTTACGGACTGAAATAAGTTTCGTTCAAATGTTCAAATCAAACAATTAGATGAAGTTAAGAAAATCTGTTGAAAATTTAAGTATTGATGTTTAACAGGTTTACATTCAGATTTCAGTGTAAATTTGATGGATTCCTTGATTTCAACACTGTTTTGGAGGCAGAAAGTTATGTTAGCGATTGCATCACAGCAGTTTGAGGCATCTGACGTAATTATGATGCAGATGCCTCAAGTTAAAAACCAACATTCATTACATGAAGT